TAATAATATAAATGATTGATTTACATGCATGTATATACTAATTTGGAAATTAATTCTAAAAATAATTCATCTACATGCGTTTAATAAATTAATTTTAGAAATAACATATTTAATTTATTCAATATTTTAATTATTTAAATTAATTTTAAAAACAATTGATTTACATTCATGTATTCAAATTTATTTCAATATAATTTTAGAAATAATTTATTTAATTCTTTGATAATGTGGTTTTGACCCATAATCAATTTTTTTATGATGTATATAAAAAAAACATGAATTTGAATCAACATAATTTTAATTAGTTAATTAATTCAATAATTAAATAATATTATGTTGTTAAGTAGTGAGATTAATAGGAAACAACAATAATTAATTAAAAATTCAAAATATTTTGTTAGCTTTTTCAAAAAAGCTAAGCACTTTTTTTTTTATTATTTTGTGGCAGTGAATTTTCAAACCATTCAACACATTTCAAAAGACAAAAGATATAACAATTATTATATACCTAATCCATGTTGAATTTTGAATCTTATATAATATTGATAATTTGTAATGAATTTCTATCACCGACAATACTATATTGTATATATAAATATATTTACACATATACGTGTGTGTGTGTATTGATTTATTGAATGAAACAAGTTTTTTTTTATTAAAAAATTAAATAAATAATATTTTTTAAAAACACACCTCATATATATATATATACACACACATAAATACAAAAATCTTAATTATTAAAACTACCAACATAGCTTAACAATAATTCTAATGGGTTAAACAAAAACCCTTTTAGAAAATAAAAAATAAAGTCGTAATAAAATTTAATGTTTTTATGACTATACTTATATCATATTTAATTTAAAAATTTATATATTATATCACTATATTTAAAATTTTAGAGATACAGGCTTCCTACCAACCATACAATTTTTATAGTATTATTTAAATTTATTTATAAATATTGTTCGTCATTTTTAAAATATAATGTTCATTTATATAATAATACATTAACCAGCGATATTCTCGTATATGTTTGATTAATTTGATAAATATTTAATAAAATTTTATACTTATTAAAAAATAATACAAAAATATAAATTCTTTTTATTTTATATATATTTATATTTATATAAAAAATTTGTCAAAATTTCATTATCCTATACTTAAATGATAATGAATTCTCTAATAATATTCTTCTTTTATATATTATACATAAATAAACCATTAATTAAATTATTTTTATTTATATAAATAAAGAGTAAATTAATTTTCTACACTTATTATATACATACATGAATTACTTTTTGAAAAATAAATAATTATAGTGTATATAAATCAAGAGTAAAATAATTTTCTATACACAAGTATGTGTATAAGTTATTATTTGGAATCACTAATGTTTTTGTAATGTTGTGACTTGATATTGTAACACCAACATTAAGCTTATTATACATACACATATAAGATAAAATTAATAATTGAAATACTTTATACATACTATAAGAATGTTGTCACGTATTATTGCATATTGTAAGTAACTCGAATG